TTGAGGAGAAGCCAAATCTGCAGCTACTCAAGAATTTCCCAACATCTTATGGAACCCGAAAGCTCATTACCGTGTTCACAAGAGACCTCCACTGGTCCCTATCCTGAACCAGAACAATCCAATCTAATCCCGCCCAAGTAGTTTCAAATGCCTCCGGTAGATGGGGAAGTATCGGGTACCACTGCCAGCCTCGCTGGCTGAACGGGGCTGATAGCGAGCGTCAGTATCGGAGGGGTACGGCGACTGGTAGAATATCAAAGGGGGACGTACAATAGACTATTAGTCGCGGTGCATGGGGAACCCACTCCCTCCAATAATAATAATAATAATCCCATCCTCTCTCAGATCCATTTTAATATTGTCCACCCACCTACGCCTTGGTCTTCCCAATGGTCTCTTTCCTTCTGACTTTCCCACCAATATCCTATATGCATTCCTCTTCTCCATTCGTGCTGCATGCCCTGCCTATCTCATTCTCCTTAACTTCATCATTCTAATTATAATACGGTACATATACAAATATATTATGTATATTTATATGTATGATGCAGGGAAACCTACTCTGTACTAGCTAGAGGGACAAGAGTTAACTGACGAAATTATTGGGCATGCCTTTACCTTTCGGGTTCTTCATCAAGTATAAACATCATCTTGTTCCATTCTCTTCTACCAGTATTGCTTCTATCCTCAGTAACATTTTCCCCCATTTTTTATTGCTAGTGGGGTGGCACTAAGGCCCTTGTACTGCGGCCACTTCTGAACTATTGTACTAGCCCCAGATGATAGGTGAAGGTGATTGTGGAGCAATTGGTGGAATGAAGAATGGCAGGGGAAACCGAAGTACTCGGAGAAAACCTGCCCCAGCGCCACTTTGTCCACCACAAATCCCACTTGACCAGACCCTGGATCGAACTCGGGCCTCCGCAGTGTGAAGCCAGCGACTAACCGCTGGAGCTATGGCGCGGCCCTAATTATTTTTCCCCATTTATCAACTTACAAATTACTTGAAGACCAGTTCTTGAAATGCAGGCTGATTTTAAACATTATTCAATGAAGGCATCGTAGGACAGTGGTACCCAATTCTTTGTTATGCCCAACATAACTTCCGCATAGACTGGGCATGCTTATCAGCTCTGAGCTTCAAAAAGTGAAGGAGGTTATACAGCTCTATATTCCAGTAAATTGCTTGTAGTAACCAAGCGTTAAGGCTAAAAAATGGTAAAGCTGCCCCTGTGCCGTGGAGACCCATAGGGTTGTGAGACGTCGAGGTTGCAACATTTTCTAGACAATCGGCTGACAGATGACGGTCAGGTTGTCAGCCTTATGCGCCGGCCGCCCTTTACCTCCAAGAATATTCCTGGTACCCATTTCTGTCAGAGGCTTAGTCGAACCCCGGGCCATATGCAGCTGGAAGGATTAGGTAAACTGAAAAATCCAATGACCTCATTGGAAATCGAACCAGAGGCCTTCCGGCTTGTAACATAGTGCCTCAATCAACTACGCTACCGTATGCTCCAATCGTTAGGTTAGTCTGGGCAATTTCTCTCTCAATCCCTTGTTCAAAAATTTTGTTGCACTGAGTAACTAATATTTCTTTTGAGGCATCTGAGTTTAAAGTTTCACCACTAACTTGTTTATTATTATCAGATTATTCTGCGGCCTGTTCTGGTTTTGGTATATAAAATTCGTGATCAAGGATTGAATACCTTGCAGAATATCCATTTAAGTTTACAGTCCTGTGCTTTATGTGCAGAAATATACATGACTTTTCGGTTGCTTTACTGCTGTGTATCAACTGTCGACGAACACACAATAAAGTGATTGTGAATTATGAATCCGGAGAGAAGTAAGGGAAACCATTCGTGACTTGCTTGAAGTTACTGCTGTGGAAATTATCTACAAGGCCTTAGGAAATCCATGGTAAACCTCGATCAAGAAGCCGGAATTCGGCTAAGCTTCGAGCTGAATATCACTCGAGTTAGATGCGTACCACATGCAATGTGCAGATAAAGGTAGAAATCCATACACAGACACAAACACTATTAACGTTACAGTGAACTTGAGGTGTCAGGTGGCACTGAACTCAACCCAAGCTATGCGTTCCGGGAGTTTGACCCTATAAATGCAATTCATGGGAGCAGTGTACATCTGCCTGAATTGGATTCCATGACAGAATGGTCCTATTCCCACAAGCATGAATATCTATAGATCGGAGAAGAATTGAAATGTATGCTTCAGAAGATAAATTTTCCAGATGAATTATCTTTACTTTAACGTTCTTGCTTGCTTTTAACTTTCATTCGTCGGAGATACGAATCTACTACTCTCATAGCTAATATACTCTTATATAGCTTTAAATTCTGCGTTGACACAATTAAGTTAGCCTCATACCACAACACTGCGCAGGCGCATGAATAATCTAACCTTATTTCCTTACATATGAACCGCAACAAGAAAGGATTTACATTAAGGTACCTAAGTTTGTCACAATTTTCTCTCTACGATTAATTGCTTTTAAGAAATAACAAATTGTCTTAGAGTACGAGGTTTTTACAGATTCAAATGAAGCTAACGTTCACCAAAAACTTTTAGCGTGGGGCTGTGAGAGCCTGAAATCCCCAAAGTTATTGTTGTACTCCACTATCAAATCTGATCGAAATAAAATGCGTACATTAGGAAATAAAAATGTGGAATGAAAAGCCTCCCAAAATTAACGGTTCCTAATTAGGGCTGGCCGTAACCAACAGGAACTGTAAACGATAGACCCGTCCTCTCGTCAAATAGGGCTCCCCACATCAACAAATTAGCAACGGTCTGACAGCAACAAAAATCTGGTCTTGCGTCTTGGACCGACTGGCCGCCGATTGTAACATAACTTTGACTTTGACAGTGAGAAGATCTTAAAGCTCCAGGGCCGTCAGACAGTAAAACATGGTCATGAGTCCCGTGAGACTAGGAACCAACCATCAGTGTGCTGGCGACGGCCAATAGCATTCATCAGTCAGTCAGTGTGAGCCAGTGTGAGTGACAGGGATAGCCAGTGAGGGAACACTCATGGCTCGGAAGTCGACGAGCAACAGGACAGGGGTCGTTGAACACGGAAACAGGAAATGTGCATTGTTGGAGCAGGTGCCAGACAGCGACTACTAAAGACAAACTGAGAAGAACTAGTTGTAGCGAGAAGTCGAGTACGATAATTAGCGATAGCCTTATAATTGTAGTTAGGACCTGTAAGATTTAAATAAATCCAGTTACCAATCCAAACCTCATAAATCGTGACGTAGTCGATTACTATTATAATTTACAAGAACCATTGAAACATAATATAAATATTTTAGATAGACTTGAAAAGATTCTGACGATGGTGTATACTGTACTTCTTTTGGCTTATTTTGGACTTCACCCATCGTCTGGTATGTAAAAGACAAAAAGACAAAAAAAAAAACCATGACTGGATTGAGACTAGCTCTTTCTAAGGGGCCCAACTGAGTAGGTTTATCCTTCCCTATCCACCTGAAGACGGAGACATATCCAGTCTCCGAAACGTCGTGGTTTCTTGTCTTTTTGTCGTTTACATACCAGACGATGGGTGAAGTCCAAAATAAGCCAAAAGAAGTATAAATATTTTAGTGAATTTTATGGTCACAAGAACGTGGTATTATAAATTTGGAACAGGAATTTATTAAATATTTTTACGGAAATACTTTCAAATTCGAGCCAGCGGAAGAAGAAAAATATCTTCAGAGCCTTCCAGTAATATTCCAAGAAACCTTCTCTGAAATGAGCTTTCAGTCTAAAGGCAAACTATGTCACTTCCCTATATTCACCCTACTTTTATCCGATTGAAATGAAATTTATAAAATGGGGAGAAATTTTGTTTATCGACATATCTCTTTCCAACTGTTCAAATAATGCCCAACATTACCTCCGAAACTCTACACAAATAAATATAATTTGCGATAAATTTTTGTTGGTAAAAAGTAAAAAAGTAAAGCTATCCGTGTAAGAGGCCAGGAAGGCCCATAGGGTTGTGAGACGCTGAGGGTCCCACATTATCTAGACAATCGGCTCAAAGATGGCGGTAAAGTTGTCAGCCTTACGTGCAGGCCGAGCTTTACTCATGACCTCATCGGTATTTGAACCCGCGACCTTCCGACTTGTAGCATAGTGCCTTAAGCACTACGCTACCGTGTGCCCCTTTTTTACAATCATTATTCTTCCTGATACTTCACAATTTAGATTTTGTTAAACAAGTCCGCAATAATATTCATTATTTTAAAATACAGAAAAAGTGTAATCATTTAAACTTTGCGCGAAGAGAATATTGCAGGCTATGAAATACCTCAGTCGGCCTTCCGCGTAGAGAATCGAATTTGGGATCTCCAGAATTTTCGATTTCTTCCTTAGCTTAATGTTTTCCCCTTAAAGAATGACCTATCATATTCTACGTTTTACTGATGAAGGACGGACGTTTTGCGAACACCGCCGTTTAACATTCAGGCGATGTCCCTATTTAAATAAATATCTTTTGCGAGGAATTTTCCTTTTCATTATGAAGTAGCAATATCGCGACCGCCTCTGTTGTCTAGTGGTCAGAGTTCCTAGCCACAGGTCCAGAGGTCCGGGATCGATTTCCGGCGCTACCATATTTTCTGAGAAGTAGTGGGTCTTGAACGGGGTCCACTCAGCCTCATGAGCATAACCGAGGAGTTATTTCAAGGAAATAGCGGCTCTGGTCTAGAAAACCGAGATTAACGGCCGTGGGAATCCTCTGCGCTGACCACGCGACACCCACTATCCTCTAAAGTTGGCAATGACTTCGCCGACAAGCGGCGGTCGCTCGGTCGGTATAGTTTGCCTGCTGACTAAAACCACGGAGTTTGTAGTAGTGATATCGTAACCCATACGGGAGCAATCGAAATCTAATATTTTCGTGTCCACAAACACACACACACACAAAATCATTAGTGGTGTAAGATGCTCTGAATAGAAGAACTCACCGTACAGCCGGATGTTGCCTTCTGCGTCGCCGATAGAATTTTTCGAAATACATTTATAGCCTCCAAAATCGGATTTGCGGAAGTTTCTAACGGTGAGACGCATTTGTACACTGTAGTAAGAACTGTTGATTTCTGTCATGTTGTACTTCTCATTGGCGATTATCATCTCACCTGCAACAAGGACATTAGAGGATACAGTAAACTTTA